GCACAGCGCAAGCTCTCGTCGTTAAAATTCGACGCTGGAAGTATTTCACGCAACACGGTTTTTATCGTCCTTACAAGCCTCTCCCAGATGCCTCCCATATGGGGAGCGCCTGGTGGGTTAAATCTCCATTTTATTCCGTCAAAGCTGGAGACAAGACTCTCGAATTTCACACTTCTGAGGCTTTCGCAAATAATCTTTTCCGTTGCTTTGAAGTTAGTACCATTATCAGAAAATATCTCCTTTGGGTACCCGCGGCGTGCAATAAAGTTTTTAATAGACATCATACATGAGCTTGTATCCAGGCTGTGAGCAAGCTCGATATGTACGGCCCGCAGGGTCAAGCACGTAAATAAAACGCCCCATCTCTTCTCTCGTCTTCTCCCAACGGCGACGTTTAGTGGGCCAAAGTAATCGACGCCTACGTACGTGAAAGGCCTCTCGAAGGCCGCGAGCCGTGCCGCTGGTAGAGCTGCCATTTGAGGTATTTGAGGCATTGCGCTCGAGTTCTTACATTTTTGACATGTACGACGTACCTGTCTGTAAAGCACCCTGAGTCGAGGTATGAAATATTGACTTCGCACCCGATTGATAATCGTCTCATGCATTAGATGATGTAGGTTTTCATGCATCCACCGCACTATAAGGAAGGTTATATGGTGAGAATTAGGTAAAATTATAACGTCGCTGTGGTTATTTAGATGCTCCGCACGGCCTCTGCTCCTAATTATTCCTTCTGAGTCCAAGTAAATATTTAAGGAATATAGTTTGCTGGACTTCTCGATGGTCTTACCGCGTTGTAGGTAACTAATCTCTTCACTAAATTCGGTACTCTGTGCGTATTTCACCAGGAAACTTTGGGCTCGTTTCGTGTCTTCGAAGTCTATCGTGATCTTTTTAGAGCTAGCACCTCTTATCACTGATCGCAGCCTGTTCACATATAACGCAAATGTGGCCACGGCTCGGTATAAACGTTTCCAGTTGGAGAAGTATTCGGTGTTGACTGTAATTTTTTGCAACTGCAGCCCGTCGATACGCAAAACGAAATTTCTGAGCTCTGGAACTTTAACCGTATTAACGCTCATTTCGTCACACTGCGGCCATGCCTTTTGGTCCAAAACTAAGAAATCCGGGCCAGTGAACCAGAGCCGGTAGTTTGATCGCGTTGTAAATTTGGTGGCTACGTCGGCGGGGTTAGCTTTCGATGGAACCCAACGCCACTGGTTGACATTTGAAGCTTCTAGGATTTCGCCCACTCGATGCATAACGTATTGGTGGAAGTGTTTTGGATCCATACGAATCCAACGCAGTACGGTTTTGGAGTCCGTCCACCAGTGCTTCGACTTAATAGGGATTCGCTGCACACTCGTTACCATATCGGCCAGCCTTGTGCCGATCACGGCTGCTTGCAACTCAAGCCTTGGGATAGAGAGTGGTTTCAATGGCGCGACTTTCGATTTCGCGGCTACCAGGGAAACCGTTACATCGTCATCTCTCTTAACCCGCAGATAGCAGACTGCTGCGTAGCCGCCCTCCCCCGCGTCCACGAAAGTATGGAGTTGGACGTCTTGTGCATCTTGCAATAATGGAGAAAAACATCTGGATATATTGACGTCACGTATAAGCTGCATTACGTTTTTCCATTGACACCATTTGTTGTTTAGATCGTCGCGCAACGGCTCGTCCCAAGCGATTCCGGCGCGCCATACTTCTTGCAGTATAATTTTTAGGCCTATGGTATAGCAGCTTACGAATCCAAGTGGGTCGAAGATTGACATAAGTACTTGCAGAATCTCCCTTTTTGTTGGTGTGAGTGATTCATTGACAACGTCTCGACGAAGCTTCGTGAACCTGCAAATATACTTAAAACTGTCATTAAGGGGGTCCCAAAACATACCTAGGACCTTCGTCGCCGAGCCCCATTCTTTAATTTTCGCAGTAGTAATTGGGTCTTCCTCTAGCTTCTCGACTACGGACGTCAAATTTGAAGACCAACCTCGGATTTGGAAGCCGGCAGCAGCGTGGATTTGTTTTATTTGCTTTGCTAGTTCCAGAGCAGATTTTTCGTCATCTGCACTTTCGATCAGGTCGTCCACATAATGGCTTTTCTTAATTGCCTCGACTGCCCGAGGGAACTGGTCCTTGAAGTCGTCTGCATTTTTGTCGCGTATAAAGTGTGCGATGCAAGGCGCACAATTTAGCCCAAACGTCATAGCGCGCATCACGTAAATGCTTGGATACCGAGCTTTGTCGCCTTCATCGTACCACAAGAAGCGCTGCGCGTGCATGTCGCCTTCTCGTATGTTAACACGATGAAACATTTCGGCGATGTCGCCGCATACACCAACCTTGCCTACTCTAAATGCCAATAGAATATTCACTAGGGAGTTTAGCAAATCTGGGCCGCTGAGAAGAAAGTCGTTAAGTGATGCTCCGTTCGCCTTCGCGGCTGCGTCCCATACCAGCCGAATTTTACCGGGCTTGTTTTGGTTTGTTACCACGAATATCGGTAGGTACCATATTTTTCCCTTTGGGATCGCGGCTTCAGCGGGCGAGAGTTTCCGCGCGTATCCTTTGACGATTAAGTTGTCAATTTGCCTCTTAATGATGGATTCCAAGACGGTGTCTTTATCTAGCTTCCGTTTTAGACAGTCTAATCGTTGTAAACAGTGATTATAGCTTTCCGGTAACCTCTTATTTGGGTCGCGCCATAAAAGACCGATCTCGTAGTGGCCGTCAACTTTTCGGCAAGTGTCGTTCAAAATACTGACAGCTTTCTCGTCGTCCTGTGATAGCAACTGCGTCGATTTGGGGCATTCCATAGCGAAAAACTCTTTCACAGTTCCATGTAGCTCGTCATATTGTTTTTGGCAATCACACGTGTGAATGTTCAATCGGTGCTGTATCGTACGACTCGCCTGGCATCCTTGCAGCGTCCAACCTAAACGCGTTTTCGAAGCTATAGGCTGGAACCATAACCCCTCTTTAATTTTTTGTGGCACTGCTAATTTCCAATTATCGACTCCGATCAACAAGGACGGTTTTATATTATTGTATGACGCAATCGGCAACCCGGTCAAGTATGGGTACTTCTCGCACAGGGTGGACGCTTCAATTGATTGCGTAGGCAAGTCAAGACCGCTGACAGTATGTACGTCCCTTAACGAATATTTCTGTGCGTTAGTGATACTTGAAACTTTGATAGTGGCTTTGACGGAATCTTCCTCAATGCGCTTGGTGCTTCCCGTCCACCGCAAGCATAGGGGTTCGTGTTCACCCTTAACCTCTAGCTCGTCCAACACCGTCTTCTCGATCAGCGTAACAGAGGACCCTTCGTCTAAGAATGCGTATATATTAATTGTTTTGTTATTTGAGTGAATGCGGACTGGAACTATTCTAAACAACGGCTGATGTTCTTCGTGAATGCTGGTATGCGTATTTACCTGAGCGTCCGACGACTCGCTTGTACTTACAAAACCCGGTTGTGCTACATTCTTCGCTGCATTTGCGTTGTGTAGTAGTGGATGGTGTTTCAATGGGCAACCATCTCTGCCGCAAGTTTTATTCAAGAAACACCTACGCTTATGTGTGTTCAAACACTGACGACAAAGGTTTTTATTTTTTACCACTTCCCATTTACGTTGCAGTGTAAGGTTTTTAAAACTCTCACATTGTGCAACTTTATGTTCCTCACTATCGCAAACGCTGCATTGCTTAAGGTTTCGTAGATTTTGTGGAAGCGTTTCCACTCGATGAGTATTAACTGCTGCGGCACCTCTACCTGGCGCTAGATTAACGACTGTGCTCGCTGCTTCAGCCAGACTATAGAGCCAGTCGCTGAATTGTTTGACGACAGGTGTGTTGATATCTTTTGGATAAACTGCCCAACTCAATTTGTGGTTATTTGGTAGTTTGTCAACCAACTCTTTTACGAGCAACGGATTGTGCAAATGCATATGCATCTGGCAGCCTTCCATCGTTGTGCAAATATTTCTCACGCACAGTGCAAACTCAATAAGACTTTCTAGTTTGTCCTTGAGCTGTGACATGCTGCGCGCTCTGATCATTAAACGCTCGATTATGTGTTCAGGTCTACCAAAGCACATCTCAAGTGTTTTAATTATCTCGGGTACCATGGACGGTAAAAACAACTTGCTTTTAACCATGTCCCGTGCTTTGCCTTTCAGGCAAGACTGTAGTCTTATAAGGTTTTCAGCGTTCGTATAGCCCGCCACTACGGTGCTGTTTTGGAATGTGCTAATGAATAGCGGCCATTCTTCTGGGTCCCCATTGAACATGGGAAGTTGTTTCGGAATAGCTTGCCTGGCGGCTAGCTGTGCTGTTGTAGGCCCGTGGCTTGGCGCGACCATTGAGGAACTAGTTAAAGGTAAATCATTGTATTGTGATAGAATTTTATATTTCTCATCCAAGTATTGCTGCTGGATTTTCATTTCTTCTTCCAGCCGTTCTAGCTGGAGATTGCGGTGCATACCGAAATTGCCTAGAGCTTGCGATGTGCCTATTAAAAGGTTTCCGCTTTGAGCGCTCGGTGCGATCGGGGACGTTACCACATTGACTCCTAAGAGTGGTGCCGATACCGTTGCCGGGGGCATTGAAAGGTGCCCTGTAGCCGCAGTCGTCGTCGAAGTATGCTGAACCTTATTGCCTGTGGTAAACGGTGCGAAATTCGACGATGTCTGAGATGTGCTTATGGCGGTGGTGGGCGGCAATGTAATATGCGTCGGCATAGCTGACGCAAAGGCTTGTGAAGTAATAGTTCGCGATAGTGTTGCTCCGGACGTCATCACGTGGTGCGCCGAACTTTGAGTTGCTATTGTAGTAGGAAACGATGGTGCAAATTGCACTTGCCGGTTACCTTGCACAAAGGTTGGCGATGACGAAGCTGTCGGTCCCACGCTGATGGGCGATGGGGTCTGCTGACACGTTTCGCAAGTCCAGCTGACGTCGGCCACGTTGCTATCGACTGAAACACAGTCGAAGTGGTACCAGGCGTTGCAATGATCGCATTGAACCATTCTGTCGTTGTCCGGTCCGACGCATTTGTTGCAATTTGCAGGCATCTTAGTATTTATAGTTCAAATCAATATTAAACGTTTTGGGGAATATCGCCAAAAAAAAAGTTTTAAAGAATGTTGCGCTTACTCTATAGCGCGGCAAACGTGAAGGATACTGAAATAAAACACAAATTTTATATAGTACGCATGTGGCTACGCACTTTAAAACTTTTTGTATTGAACTCACTACACGTTTGTACAGTTTAAAGTGCTTGCAGCTATATATATAGAAATTTACATTCGCAGTTATTCAGATAAATTTAATAGAAAATACTAGATGCATGTAGATGTTGAAAATGGCAAATAGTTCAAAAGGATAAGAAAATGATACAGAGAATAAGAACCGGTTCGGTGTTGCCAGATCGAGATTTCACTGTTCGGCCGCACTCATCGGCGGTAACA